CCAGAAGAATGTCTTCAGTCCAGGGGATAGTATGCTAGTTTAATTTTTAAATCCCAGAAATAAGAATGTCATCAGGTTTCCAGTCAGTGAAGTATTCATGGATTTCACACTGGAATCATTCAAAGAGGTTATTGTGCTGCTGTGGTCCTCAGCAATAGGTAACTCAGGGGCAATTTTAGAGAAACTTCCTCCCTTCAGTTTTGAATGCCACTGCTTTCAAATATCTGTTGACTTGCCAAGCCTCACTCAGTTTGGATCCATTTTTAAGGCAGTTTTGAAAGTATCTCAGTGCTGTTCAGGAAAGAGTCTGTAAATGTGTTTCAAAATGAGACATTCACAAACTAGTCCTAATTTTGGAATTCAAAACCAACCTCACTGAAATCCTCCCAGCAGGTCTGCAGCCCAAAGAAGCAGCAACAGATCTATAGACAGACACGCGGCATTAGAGGTGGGGTACAATTACAGAGGAAGGAAAGGTTAGAGACGAATGAGGGGAAGGGTTAGTTATGGAAGTATAAGGAGCAGAGTTAGCTTGAGTTATGGGTTGTAGAAGGAGATCTGAGAGTTAGAAAGGGTGGAAATGGTAGTTTGAAAGGTAGGAGTGGAGTTAGATTGGTATGGAAATAAAAAAATATACAGATAGGGGAAAGAGGTGATGGATGGGAAAGGTTAAATGAGCACATGAAGAGAAGAGTGTAATGGAATAGGGTAGAAGATGTGATTGGAAGTGGAGAAAGCATTGGAAGAGGAATGATGGGGTTTATTTATATGGAGTGGAATGAAAGGTAAGGGTCAACAGAATGATGGCAACAGTAATTAGTTACATACAGCACCTGTCAACCAAAGCACTTTGCCATGGGTCAGAATCAGAGGTGACATCAACGGTGATATAAATGAATCAACAAATTGGTGTAAGCTGGTGTAACTTAAACATCAAAGGGGCTGAAAGATGGGGCTGCCACAGAATGTACAACTAACAGTAGAGTGTAAGTAGGTGTAAGATAAAGCACAGGTGCAAACCTGCTCTGTCTTATAACTTCCTTTTCTCACTACACCATCCTCTTCTGCCAACTTTGGCATGTAAGTCAAACCACTTAGCAATAGTTAACTTACACCATGGTATCACCTATGGTATCTCCCAGTGTGACCAGAGATATGTATTTCTCTCTGATGAGATAAACTCTGAGATATTGATCATTTTGTAAACATCTAGGGTTCTAGAGCCAGAGCCTTGACCAAATTCCAGTCCTAGCCAAATCCCCAAATTACATATTGCCTAATTTAGCTTATCTCAGCTCTTTCAATTGGAAATAAATGGGTTTATTTCTCCATTGCTTGTCCAAGTACATTGTGTTGCTGTGCCCTGTTAAACAGGTTCTATGTTCCATCCCAGAGGTAGCTGCTCAGGGATGGGTAAAGTTATACCTTTTTGGATTAAAAAAGCCAGCCCCCAGCCTGACAGCTTTGCAGTGTTCTGGCAGCACAAAGCAGTTGGAAAGCCATCTTAACCAGTTATGTGGGGATTCTCCTATGGTAAAAGGAACAGCTAGATGGCACGGAGACACCCATCAACACCACCTTTACAGCTCCAAGCATAGGGAGCACGGCCAATGAAAGGGAATGTGGCCAGAGAGCTGATGTGCTCTAGAATTCTCTAATGATCTCCAGAAAGACCTCCTGGAGGCCACTGCAGCCAGATACAACTTAGAGCAGCTCTGAGGCTACTCTAATTTGAACTGGGGCCCAAACTGACCCTCATCTAACCCCAGGACCAGGAGACGTACACGTTACCATGTAGCCATCTTTACCACACTCATCCTTCAGCTACACTGCCTGCAACCCGAATACAACTGAGGATCTGACCCAGTATCTATGCATGCCATAAAACTAGTAATATTTGTTATAAGTTTATCTTAAAATATATATGCAACAATTACTTTCTGCTGCTCTTCCCCCAGCTGCCATTTCGCATGTCTTTGTGCTACTGCTGGCATGGGAACAGGTAGGGGCAATTGCTTCTCCTAACTCAAGCCTCACTCCTCCTCTGGCCACCACAGTCTCTCTCAGTTGTCACCGCCATGAAAATAGGAGTACCACCCCCTTACTCCCATCAGCACAAGCTAGCTTGCAGCATGAAGTTCAACAAGCACAAATGTGCAGCTGCTCGTCTATGCAAAATAAAGCGAGTGCAGCCAATTCTGGAAGGAAGCATGGTTTTAGTGGGTCTGAGTGACATCGTAAAGGGGAGTGGAGGGCATGGCGAATTGTATACACATTACTGGGTACATTAATGGTGTGACTACTGCCCTACTATAGTACAATTATGTTTACAAAATACTAAAACTGAGCTAAAAAGAATGTGAAATGGTTTCCATTTCACAAGCTTTGAAAGAGACCCATTTTCATTTTTTCAACAAAATGGACTTTACAAAAAATGTAAGCTACTTTTTGAATAGAGAATGTTTCTGAATCTGTTGTTGAAAGTTTTCATATACCAAAGACCCATTTTTTGAATAAATTAGAAATGTTGATTACCCAGTAATGGTGTTGATAAAAATTTTGACTGAAAAATGTTGATTAAAAAATATTATAAGAAGTTAAAAATTTCAAAAAAGAAAGAATTTCTTATGGAATGTTTCAGTTTTGGAAAAAGGCCATTTTCAACAACAACAAATTTCACTCAAAAATCTCAATCAGCTGCATAATGCTAAATAAGAGTAAAAAGTTACAGGTCACAAAAACTTATTCACACTAAAGAGCATAAAGATATTATCAGAACGGTGTAAGATTGGTTTGGGGCTGAGGGTTAGGTGAGCGCTACGTTTCGCCTATGGTAGGAGGCAACAGGAGTGAGGGCAAGAGCTGGGTTTGGAAATGGGAGACAGGATCAGAGGGATAAGTTTAGAATTGGAGGAAGGGGTGGTGGGGAGGGTTATGTTCAACCACACATGGATGCAGTGTCCACCCTGTTTGGAATGACATTACTGCAGGGCACTTTTGTCCATTGTCTCTGCACCTTTATATGCAAGCATCAACTACTCACTCTCAGATGTCACCAGTATCCATGGAGTGAGATGGGAAGGCAAGGAGAGGAGAGTGGGCACTAGATAGGGGAAGGAGGGATAGAGAGGTTCTGGAAGAGAGAGAGCAAGATGCTACAAAGGGAAGAAGAGAAAGGGATGAGAGAGAGATTCAGGCGTAGGAAGAAGGTCAGAGGGAGAAGAAGAGGGATGGCAGATGGAGCTGGCTGGGGGCCCATGTACCTGTGGTTGACTGAGATCCGAGGTGATCTCCCTACGGGTCAGCAAGGCATGAGGGCTGGGAGTTGGAGCCAGAGGGGGATCACAAGTGGGGTAGGCTAGAGTTGACTGGGATCAGAAAGGATGAGAAATGGGGACTGGATTCACAGCGTGCTGGGCACACGGGTGCTGGCAGAGAGGAGCGTGGGCTGGGCTCAGAGGGGTGTGGGCTGAAAGGGGAGCATAGAGAGGAGTGCAGGCTGGGCTCCCAGGGGCACAGGCAGGGAGGGGTGCAGGCTGGGCTCCCGGGAGCGATGGCAGGGAGGGCAGCGGGCTGGGCTCCCGGGGGCAATGGCAGAGGGGGAGCAGGGAGGGGAGTGGGCTGGACTCCTGGGGTGATGGCAGAGAGGGAGCCAGGAGGGGTGGGGTGAGGGCTCCCGGGGGCAATGGCAGGGAGGGGAGCAGGCTGGGCTCCCGGGGGCGATGGCAGGAAGGGGTGCGGGCTGGGCTCCTGGGGCGATGGCAGGAAGAGGAGCGGGCTGGGCTCCTGGGGCGATGGCAGAGGGGGACAGGGAGAGGAGTGGGCTGGGCTCCCGGGTGCGATGGCAGGGAGGGGAGCAGGCTGGGCTCCTGGTGGCGATGGCATGGAGGGGAGCAGGGAGGGGTGCGGGTCGGGCTTCTGGGGGCGATGGCAGGGAGGGGAGCAGGCTGAGTTCCCGGGGGCGATGGCAGGGAGGGGACCGGGCTGGGCTCCTTGGGGCGATGGCAGGGAGAGGGGCAAGGAGGGGGGCGGGCTGGGCTCCCGGGGGCGATGGCAGACAGGGAGCAGGGCAGGGAGCGGGTTGGGCTCCCGGGGCCAATGGCAGGGAGGGAAGCAGGCTGGGCTCCCGGAGGCGATGGCAGGGAGGGGACAGGGCTGGGCTCCCTGGGGCGATGGCAGGGAGGGGGGCAAGGGGGGGAGCAATGGCAGGGAGGGGAGCGGGCTGGGCTCCCGGGGGCGATGGCAGGGAGGGGAGCAGGTTGAGTTCACGGGGGCGATGCCAGGGAGGGGACTGGGCTGGGCTCCTTGGGGCGATGGCAGGGAGAGGGGCAAGGAGGGGAGCGGGTTGGGCTCCCGGGGTCAATAGCAGACAGAGAGCAGGGCAGGGAGCGGGCTGGGCTCCCGGGGGCGATGGCAGGGAGAGGAGCGGGCTGGGCTCCCGGGGGCGATGGCAGGGAGAGGGGCAAGGAAGGGACCGATGGCAGGGAGGGGAGCGGGCTGGGCTCCCGGGGGCGATGGCAGGGAGAGGGGCAAGGAAGGGACCGATGGCAGGGAGGGGAGCAGGCTGAGTTCACGGGGGCGATGGCAGGGAGAGGGGCAAGGAAGGGACCGATGGCAGGGAGGGGAGCAGGCTGAGTTCACGGGGGCGATGCCAGGGAGGGGACTGGGCTGGGCTCCTTGGGGCGATGGCAGGGAGAGGGGCAAGGAGGGGAGCAGGTTGGGCTCCCGGGGTCAATAGCAGACAGAGAGCAGGGCAAAGAGTGGGTTGGGCTCCCGGGGCTGATGGCAGGGAGGGGACAGGGTTGGGCTCCCGGGGACGATGGCAGGGAGAGGAGCGGGCTGGGCTCCCGGGGGCGATGGCAGGGAGAGGTGCAAGGAGGGGACCGATGGCAGGGAGGGGAGCGGGCTGGGCTCCCGGGGGCGACGGCAGGGAGAAGGGCAAGGAGGGGAGCGATGGCAGGGAGGGGAGCGGGCTGGGCTCCCGGGGGTGCGGCACTTACCGGCTCCCTCGGCGGTCACGATGGCCTCTGGGGAGATGCAGACGCCGCGGTCGTAGAGGGGCAGCTCCTCGCAGGCCAGGCTCTCGGGCCAGGTGTGGCGGTACTTGATGAGGACGGGCTCGCAGCCGGCCCGGGCCCGCTCGCACACCGACTTGCAGGGCTTGATGGGCTCGTGCTGGAAGTCGATGGTGCAGATGGGCGCGTACATAGCGCAGAGGAAGAAGAGCAGGTCGGGGCTGCAGTGGGTGCCCAGCAGCCCCTCGAACTGCTCGATGGCCAGGATGGCGTTGGCCTGGGTGCTGTGGTGCAGGTGGTTGGGCATCTTGGTCATGTTCCAGGGCAGGGACTTGCACAGCGGGATGCGGACCGGCTCGCAGGCGGCGCCCTGGGCCCCGGGCACCCTGCTCAGGAAGAGCCCGGCCAGGGCCAGGGCCAGGAGGAGCGCGGCGGAGCCGCAGCCCAGCATGGTCCCGCCGGGCTCTGGGCTCGGGACCTCACACACACGCGCTCCCCGGACCTGGCGGAGCCGCCTCTTCTCCCCCTGCCCCTCGCCACAGCGGCTCCGGCTGCCACCTGCCCCGGGCAGCGGGGCCCGCCCCCTGCGGCGCTAGGGGTCGCGGCGGGATCGGAGCAAGGCGCAGCCGGAAGGGGGGAGATCGGGGGGCGCTGCACCTGGGGGCGCCCCGCTCCTGCTGGCGCCGAGCACGAGGACGGGCCCGCGGGCGCCCCGGCAAAGTTTGGCCAGCGCGGAGAAGCGCTTGGGACTCGCCGGGCCCCGCTCCGCAGGCTGAGGGACGGGCCGGCTTTGCAATGAGGGCTCTGTCTGCAGCCCAGCTCCTTTTCCCCTTCCCCAGCTCCTCCTCCCAGCCCTCCTTAACCCTGTGCGGCGGCGGGGAGGAGGGGGGACGAGATGACCTGCGGCTGCATTAACTTCCATCAGTATAAGACACCGCTTGTCCCGTACCCCACCCCCCGCCTATCCCTCGGGAAAGCTGCGAGCTCTCAGTTTTCGCGGGCGCTGCAGCAAGGCAGAGCGGGGGAAGCCAAATCAAGCTAGGCCTTGTCAAGCGACTGGAAAGTGCCGGGCAGCAGAAGCGCCCAGCCAACCCTGACAGAACCTCTTAGACCAGATCTGGCAGAGCTCAGAGACCCACCAACTCTTAAGCCAGAAGGGAGCAGCATGATCGTCTGACCGGCACATCGCAGGCCACAGACCTCACACACCCAGACCCCTAGTCTCTGGCTGAGTTACTGAAGACCACAGATCATGGGTTAAAGATTGCAAGCTCCAGGTCTACACTTTGGAAACACATCCCTCCTCCCCACCCAAGCATGGAGGTAAAGAAAAGGAGTCTCTTTCAGACACTCCACAGGACACAAGGAGGCGGGTTTTTCCTTCCCGAGTCTCTCTGTTCTGGTGTAAACAATCACCTCTGGGGCTTTCTTTTCAAACATAAGGGGTAGAGTTTCTGATCTGCCTTGCTGCACGGGATCCGATGCCTTTGAATCGCAGCCCTTGCCAAGAGGGCTGCATTCATTCTGACACTGCCCACCCCCTCCACAGCCAGAGTCCTGCGGGAAACTTTCCCCACAGTGGCAGAAAGTGGTTTTTTCTCTCCTTCAGTCCAGATGCATTTAATCTAGAGGAGAAAATAGAAAGCAGCTTGCTCCCTGCAGCTAAAGTAACCTCCTGTTCAGAGCACAGTCTAAAATGAAGTGACCTACAGAGGCATCTTCCCCTCTGCATCGGGGGGAGAGAGAGGACTCCCTCAGAGGGGCAACAAAGCCCCAAACAAAACAGGAAATCACCTTTGCTCTGCACCATTAAAATGTGCCTTTGTTTCAACGCAGCCATTTCTCACAGCTGATCATTTTTAGCCAAACCTATCCCCTTGGCTTCCACCCCCTCCCCCAGCACACACAGTGGGCTATCTGTTTCTGGCCCTGGATTTGACTTGAAGGCAAGAGGTTTAAAAATGTAACATTCACTTGCTGTTTATATGGCTACGTTATTGCTGAAATAATTCTGGACAATGGTGCCATAAACATTTTTCCCCCAAGGAAAAGATTGTTAATTGGAGAACAAAGAATAACAGACGCTAAACTTGGATTAATTTAGTTGAAACACAGGGTGGTTTATTTTGGTGTAACTGTTTAGTATCTTTAACAACAAATAAATTAGGCATGAGAAATATTAGCACTAAATTATTTGGAAAAAAGAAAATAGAGCCATGCTGAGATAAATACCCCTCTTCTGAATAGTAAATGTGGAGATAGCTATATTCAAGCTAGAATGCCTTTGGGACTCTTATTAGCAGTACTGTTTTGAGATGGAAGATGACAACCTTCACACAGCCTACACTGTTAAGTGGGAAACCATGACTATCATCATCAAACCAGCAACTCTTGACCTCCTGGTCAAAAGAGCAACAAAAAAGCCTGCCTTTTCAAGGCCAATGTACTAGGCAGATCAAACCTGGGTTAAAGATCTGCCAGTTGAATGTTGAAGACTCATGGTCCAAGAGTGACTGCCTTCAGTATTTTCTCCAGATAATCAACATCAAAGTCCTCACCCTTCAAAAAACCCACATTACAAACAAAGAAAAAGCTTGTTGTTACAAAATCAATAGCTATAAACTCAGAGCCAGCAATGACCACCCAAAATAAGGGCTGGCAATTTACATAAAGTGGGAGATCAACCAATATGTGGTCCTACTTCCTACAGAAACAAACTACAATCTCCGTGCATGTCAGCAAGCTATCATTAATGTATATAAACCACCTGGTGCACAGTGGCCTCAACCAGCTCTGCACCCTCCTGTATTTATGGGCAACTTTAATAGTCACCACACACAGTGGGGTTATGCAGCAAACAACATTTCAGGTGAAGAAAGGACATGGTCAGGGTTGACAAATGATATGCTCCTCCTTTCTAATGCAAAACAGTGCAGCACTGTCCGCACTGCAAGATGGAGCAGATGATACTGCCCTAACCCAATGTTCATCTCTAAAGATGATGGAGGCACACCAATACCCTCGTCACAGACCATTTTTGATGACTTCCCGAATGGCCAGCACAGACCAGTCCTGACCCATATTGGCAGTCAAATTCCAGTTCTCTACTCAAAACCAGTGCTGTGCTGGAACTTCAAAAAAGCAGACTGGGCCACTTACCATGGCAGTGGACAATACAATCTCCCGCATTCCCCCAGTGCTGAAAAAATTTGACTATTTTACTGCTCTTCTAATCTCTGCTTCAAAGAGGACCATCCCCTAGGCACACAGGTCACCGTATGCTCCTTGCTGGGCTGTAGAGAGCCAAGAGTCCACAAATATGCAGAGTGTAGAGACCGAAACACTAGAGTGTAGAAAGCCCTCCTGTCACTGAATGCAGTAAGGCCAAAATGGTGGCTTGATTGTGAAGAAGATCCAAACTTCACACACTCAAGTAAATATGCCTGGAACCTGGAGGCTGCAAATCCCACACATGCCACTAGCCAATGCCATCACTGCTAAACCTTTGTGGACATCCCAACAGCCAGTGACAAACAGTATCGCAGACAAGTCCAACATCAACTCTGGAAGGCAATGTCCACGTGCACTCCATCGCCCCAATGGTCTGGACCCATTCACAAGTAAGGAGACTGAAACAGCCACAAACCTGGGAAAAGCAGCGGGAAGAGATAGTATCTATCCTGAGTTCCTATATAACCCAGTCCATTAGCTCAGAAATGGATGATGCAGAGTACTGTGCATCAGTGTAGACAAGAAGTTGCCATATCCAACTTGTGAAAAAGCAGCTAAAATCAGACCATGTGAATCATCATGGGGACTTTAAAATCAACAAACTGTGGCTTTCTGGATTAGCAAACATTGAACTTCCAGCTATCCGTTGAGATATAGCCACAGTTTGAGAACTTAACTGGTCTGAAGACTGCTCAGAACTTCCCACCCTGCCGGTCATGGATAACATACCCCAGCAACACCTGAAACTGCAAAAACCACTGTGGACCACACATGACCATCTCATATCTCTAGTTCCAGCCAGGGAATGGCAAAGTGTCAACCTTATCTACTATTCTAAACAAGCACATTTATTACTGACCCAACAAGCAGCCCTTCTGGTTTCGACTTGCCATGCGGACATTGAACCACACTGAACCACATCCAAACAAACCATGGAAGATGTGACTACTTGATGCCCAAGAGGAAAATCAAAGACACTCAGACCCTCATGTGGCTCCACAAGAGAAGGGGTTACAAACCCCTTATTGCTGAGAAAACTAATAAGGAAAACTTTGGGGAATTTAATGCCACTCCATGGGACTTACCACCTACAGTCTGGCCCTATGTATTATTATTATTCATAGTACCCTAGCACTTAGATGCCCTAACTGTGGATCAGGACCCCATTGTACTAGGCCTGTATAAACATGTCCAGGGTTTCATGCTAGAAAAGTTATTGTTGCTGGTGGCTTGTCCTTTGTGTGGATAAGTTTATTCTTGTATTCTCAGGAAAATAACAAGCAAGGCAAGAAAATGGAAATCAAAAATAAATTATTTCCCACCATTGTGCACTATTGTTGCAGAAGAGATAAATCTTGGAGGAATTTTAGTGTATATTTAATTCTGTTAATTGAACGAAAAAATGTCTTGCAGGTAGTAAAATAGTGGGGAAAATCTGTCTTTAGCAGCAACAGAAAAATGAGTATTTTTCCATGTCTTTTATTCAATATCTGAACAATGTCAGGGGCAAATCCCCCCTCCATCTCCCTCAGTGTGCAGGATGCCACTTACAGCAGCATGGATTCAAGGAGCCCACACAGAAGATGCACATCCTCTCTGCAGAGTGCATACTTTCATATGAATGCCCTACACAGTTGCAGGGGACTAGGTAGGTCAGGTCCTGAAGATCTGCAGTTACATTTATTTTCACATTCTGCCCACCCCTCCCCTCCCCGTTACAACACATAGTAGTGAACAAAGTGTTAAACATGTTGGTACTGAGAGGAGACAAGAGTAGCCATGTTTAACATCTTGGTTAACCCTAGGGTGGATCATAGGGTTAAACATGATGAGCTGGCATAGAATCGTAAAACTAGTCTGGAAGGAACCTTAAGAGACCTTCTAGTCCAATCTCCTGCATTGAAGGCAGGACTTACCTTTTGTCTAGATCAGTGGTTCCCAGCCACTGGGAGCTGCAGGGAGGCTGTGTCTGTGGACAGTCAACGTCAGCAAAATGTCTCATGGCCTGCAATCAGATTACCCTGATGGGCTGCAGATTGCCCACCACTGATCTAGATCATCCCTGACAGGTTTTTGTCTAATCTGCTCTTAAAAATCTCCAATGATGGAGATTCCACAATTTCCATAGGCAATTTATTCCAGCGCTTAGCCACCGTGACAGTTTTTCCTCATGTCCAACCTAAACTGCCCTTGCTGAAATTTAAGATAATTGCTTCTTGTTCTATCCTCAGAGGTTAACAAGAACATTTTTTCTCCCTCCTCCTCAAACCACCTTTTATGTACATGAAAAATGTTATTTCTCCCCTCAGTCTGATCTTCTCCAGACCAAACCACCCCATTTTTTTCTTCCCTCATAGGTCTTGTTTTCTAGACCTTTAATCATTTTTGTTGCTGTTCCCTGGGCTTTCTCCAATTTGTCCACATCTTTCCTGAAATGTGGCACCCAGAAATGGACACAATACTCCAGTTCAGGCCTAATCAGTGCGGAGTAAAGAGCAGAAGAATTACGTCTTGTGTTTTGCTTACAACACTCCTGCTAATACATCCTAGAATCATCTTTGCTTTGTTTGCAACTGCAGATCATTGTTGACAGATATTTCGCTTGTGATCCGCTATGACCAACCCCATATCCCGTTTTGCAGTTCTCTTTCCTAGGCAGTCATTTCCCATTTTGACATGAGTGCTTCAATAGGAGCGTGTTCA